CAAAACCTGCACCCACATAGCTAAGATTCCTCAATGGCCTTGAATGTGGCCTGTGTTTTGTGTGGTGGCTCCTAATGTTTCAGCTATCCATTCCATAAAGGAACATAATTGCCTTTTTACATTTATTCTGAATGAAGGGTAGTTATTACCCAGAACTGGAGAAATAACTGATTTTTCGATTCGCCGGCAGGTCTGACAAAAAAATAAAAATATTTTAAAAAGCTCAATTTGACCCAAATCAAATCTAAAAGTTACAAAAAAATAATAATCATCTAGCAAATTGAAATAAATCCATATTGGGTCAAATGAATTGACCCTGAATGGATTCTTCTGGGTGGCAGTGACCTCCCTTTATTACTTTTAGCTCAATGGTTAGAGCACTTACCTGGAATGTGAGAGACCTCGCTTCAGTTTCCCCTCTCTGCCTGATGCGGAGAAGGCATTTGAACTTGGGTTTCCCATATTTCAGGACAGTGGCCTCACCACTGGGTTAGAGAGTATTCGAGGGAGGAGCTCTCTCCATCTCTCCTGTTGAAGCTGTTCCACTCTGTAAATCATTAAACAGTCATTGTGGGAGACCCACATTCAAGACCCTGATCCAACAGCTATTTAATTATGTATACAAACTGGAACAGCTTTAACAGGAGAGCCGTCCAGTGTGGCCAGTGGAGAGTGGGTTAGGGCTATGTCCCTCCTTCGGGATGGCTTGTGCCCCAGGAGCACCAGCAAGGACCAGTCCGTGTGCTCAGGAGGGAGCAGGGACCATGAGTGGCCATTGTGGTGGGATGCATGTGCAGGGCAGGCTTCTTGCTTCCTCTCCTTCCACTGTGCACTTTCACAGAGGTCAACCACCTTCAGACCCAAAACATTGACATGGATGGAAGTAAAGATGGTCCCAAATTAAAAATAAATAAATAAATAAATAAATAAATAAAATTACCAACTCCAATCTTACCATTTGGAGCCAACTGTAGACACAATATTTTAAGATAGTAACATGAAATAAAACAATTAAAGGTGCTCCAAGCACATACCAGAGTTCTCTAATGGGAATTTCCTACATTTTTATTTTTAATTTTCCATTTCCTTACATTCAAATATCAAAGAATACATCCTAAGGGTACACAGCTTTGAAGAAAGCAGCCAAGCAAGGAGTTAACTATAAAAGAACACACAGCCATCTGTAATGTGACAATTACATTAAGTCCTCTGAGAATTGGTCTTTTGTATCCCTACTCTTTTTTTTTGTTTGTTTGTTTTTTTTTGTTTCTTCTTCTTACCAGCCAACAGTAATTACCAAAGGAAAAATAATTCTTGGGAAAAATTATTTTATTAATCAGTCAATGTAACATTTAACTCAGTCACAAGCTTAATGTTTTACATTGCAATACTCTGTGGTCTGTTGTGATCCAAGTGCTGGACATGTATTCCACAGGAGACTCACTCCCCTAGGATTTCTTGGGTTGGAAGAAAGGGCATTTCTCTTTGTGGACGGAGTTACTGATAGACATACAGCATTACAGTCAAACTCTGGCAGTTAAAAAGTTGTTATTTATATTTAGAAATCAAAACAAAGTGCCTCTCCCTGCTGCCCTACAGGCCCTACTGCCAATTAAAATATTTTTTTTTAAAAGCATTAAAGAGATATTCCATTCAGAAAACCCCAACAAAAATAATCAGTCCAATCAAAGCAACAAACCATAGAAGTCCCCTATCCTACAGCAGAATCTATTCTCTCCCTACCCTCACCAGCTCTACATGCCAGGGCAGCAGATGATGGCTATTTCAGAACAAGGTGGGAAGTGAATTCTAGAGTCAAGGGTCCTCATGCAGAGTGCTCTGCAGAAAGTGCCTACTCTTTTAAACTCAGGAGGCTCCAGCTCAAGCACCTGCACGGACTGCATCTGTGGCAGAAAGGCATGGGAAAGAGACAGTCTCTGAGGTACGCCGGTGCCAAAACCAACATCTCAAGCTCCATCTGGAAACCAACAGATAGGCAGATCAGAGTGGGATACCCTAGTTAAAGGGCCAATTGCATTTTGCCCTGTCTAAGCTTCCCAATCAATTTAAGGAGTAACCCTACGTAGGGTGCATTGCAATAGTCTAACCTATCTGAGGGAAAAGGTCATACTCTGCTGGCCACATATAGAAGGGGGCGGGGGGAGAGAAAGAGTGACCACAGATGCTTCTGGCAAAAAGATAGGTTAGAAATGGAAAAGGTACAGAGATAGGAAACAGAAATGGTTAAGGGTATGGAATAGCTTCTATTTGAAAAAAGAGATTTTAAAAAATTGGGACTGTTCAGCTTGGAAGAGAGATGACTTGGGAGGGGGATGAAATATGATAGAGGTCTATAAAATCATGAATAGTGTTGAAAAAAATAACCCATTATTTACCCATTCACATAACAAAAGGACCAGGGTCACCAAATGAAGGTTTAAAACAAACGTAAGAAAGTACTTCTTCACACAATGCAGGGTCAACCTGTGGAACTCGTTACCAGGGGATGGGGTCAAAAAAGAATTAGATAAGTTCATGCAGGAAAGGTCCATCAATGGCTATTAGCCAAGATGGTCAGGGATGCAACTCATGATCTGAGTGTCCCTAAGCCTCTGATGGCCAAATGATGGGACTGGACGACAAGGGATGGACCACTTGTTAGTTGCCCTGTTCTGTATATTCTCTTTGAATCATCTGGCACTACCTACTGTCGGAAGACAGGATACTGGGCTAGATGGGCCATTGATCTGACCCAGTATGACCATTCTTATGTTCTTATCTAAAAGCACCTGTTGGTCTAATCAGATCACCAAATTGCAAACTTGATTAACAAACAATGAACTGAACAGTCAACTTGACCTTCACGCAAGGAGGCATTAATATAATCACAAATTCCATTTGCCTAACTGAGTATGCCTGCACAACTCCAGAGCAGCAGATTTACTTGGTTTACTGTCCTGGCTTTTCAAAGTGATGTGGGAGAGCAAGCTGGATTGTTCTTTGTCCATCATCATCAAAAAACACTAGTTGCTGATGGTTGCATGGGCACAGCTAGGCACTGCAGGATTTGGGGGTAGGAAGAAGTCTTCTGTTTGCATGCAGTGTGAAATGGCAGCTAAATTAAAAACGGGTAAAAAAAAAATAATAGTAACTTTCCACTTTTCAGAGTGTTTCTAGTGTGTGACCTAATTTCATTTCAAAGAAAAACAAATATTTTTTTTTTAATTTCAGAAAATATAGTTCCTAGTTTGAAGTGAAACTGGAGTCCTGAATGTCTTCTCTGATCTTGGTCCATCAGTGAAAGGGATTTCAGAGGCATGTTCCTAACAAATGTTTTGATGGGATAACTTCCATTATGAATTCAGAGTTTTAATGTTTTGTCTCCATTAGTGTGTCCTCTTTGAGCTAGTTTGATAAAGATTTAAATTAAGTAAGCAAAAATCAGGTCACAGAACTCTCTAAATAAATTAGCCTCTTCACAGAAATGTTTCTTCACTTAGCAAGACTGCTGAGTGTATTGAATCAGTGGATGATCAATAAACAGAAGTTGGCGTAATTCTTACTTAGTTCAATTGTCCCTTTCACAATGCCAGTGGGATGTTATTTCAGTGTTGTCCTGTTAGCAAAAAAAGACATCATTTTGATAAGAGTTTGAATGTGAAAAAGGTGCATTTGCCGCAAGACATGTATGCATACTCACACATTGCCACAAGATACACCTCTACCTCGATATAATGCCATCCTCAGGAGCCAAAAAAATCTTACCGCGTTATAGGTGAAACCGCGTTATATCAAACTTGCTTTGATCCACCGGAGTGCACATCCCCGCCCCGCGGAGCGCTGCTTTACCGCGTTATATCCAAATTCGTGCTATATCGGGGTAGAGGTGTATATCCCACTGAAAAAATCAACTAAGCAAATTCAGCAGAGTTTATGGGCCAAGTTCTGCTCTCATTAAGACTGGTCTGAATTTGGAGTAAACTGGCATCAGCCAAAGCAGAGTTTGGCCCTCTGACTTCAAGGAAGAGACTTAAAAAAAAAAAAAAAGCATAAATAGTCCTCGGCATTTAGCAGTGTATTGTGTCTGAGCACATAAACAAGTAACGATGAATTTGTAATGCAGTAATTTCTCTTCTGCGCTCCTTCCTTGCCCAGTTTGTCTCTTATGATGCAGTCATACTCCACTTAGTAGAGCACAGGAACTGCTATACTGAATTGCCATATTGGATCAGATCTAAGGTCCATCTAGTCTAGTATCCTGTCTCTACAGTGGCCAATGCTAGATGGTCACAGGACGGTGTAAGAAATCTGCAATAGGCAGCTATGGGTTAATCTGCTCCTCACATTAAGGCTCATTCTGATCTCTAATAGAGATTGGCTTAAGTCCTGAAGTATGAGGTTTAATATCCCTTCCACAATGTTTGTTAGCATTAACTATTATACCTCCCTCCTTCAATGTCCCCCTTCCCTCCTCTGGGCTTGTCTTGGCACAACCAAGGTGGCGTACAACTATTCTACTAGCCCTACAAAGGGCCAGGGAACCCCCTTACACTGGAGATATTCCCTGTTGTGATGATCTGGCTGGTATCCAGTCACTGGAGCAGCATAAAGGGGCGCATGCAACCCAGTTGTGGCCATTATTGTAAAACCTTGCTGTCAAGATTCATGTGTATTCTGCCAGTAGAGAAGAGGTTAATTGTAACAGCACTGGAGCGTGTGACCCCATGGCTGCAGCTCTGAAAATTAAGCCCACTATAAAATGTCTCAAAATATTTCTTGTGACTTTCTCGTCTTTGGGAAAAAAAAGGTTATTCCCCTTGTATGCAAAAGAAAATAATAGCTCCAGGCAAAAAACTTTTCCAAAGGAGAAAGCTTCCTGACCATCTGTTTTTAACTGCATAAAAGACATCAGTTTTGCCGCAGAATATCAACAACATCCTTAGATATAATTTCATTCAAGGTTAAACTTTCATTTCCCTCACCCCCACCCAACCCGGCACCTGCTTGGAGCTGCAGTATTGTTCTGGTGTAAGCTGGTAGTTTTCCACTGTCTTTACAATAGCTCAGAAGCTGCGTTTTTCTTCAAAATATACAATTCAAGACTTTCCAAATGGAGGGTCTCGTTCTGTGTAGTACCCAGTACCTAACCCTGGTTGACTTGAGTGGGAGCTGCAGGTATTCAGCATCTCTCAGGATGAGATCCTGGATGCACATTTGTTCAACCTGTCCAAGGAAAAGAAGTCAAATTAGCTGCCCCCGCCCACAACCTCTTACAGAGATTAATGTTCACCCTCTCCTGTAGGTATCAAAAATGCTGCCATGTTCATGTGAAGTCATAAGAGAATGGCTGCCCTGATTTTGATTACACACAGGGGTCCCATTAAGAAAATATTTTTAGGGACAATTTTTAAATAATATGTGGTTTTGGGGGCTGCAAGTTCCCAGATGCAGTGGGGAGAGGAATGTTATGAGCATCTTGGTGAATTTGAGGCAATTCGCTCCATAGAGGAAAAGGGCAGAGAAAATAACTTTAATATTAAATTAGACACTTAATCATTAGCAGCCTCTAAAAACCCTGATTACTTAAAAAATGTCCCGTATCTCAAATCTTTTCACTCTTTCCCCCCACCCCCAACTCCTTCACTTCTTTCCTTCCATCTTTAACTTCCTGTCTCAGCCAATATGATTACCCTGCTTCGCTACTCACCCCCACCAAGGGTCCCCCTTGGATTTTTCCTCCTCTTCACTTGCACAGAGTGTGGACTCAGCCAGCACAAGATTCTGGTAGCAAGGCTCTCAGTTGCACATAGAGGGTCTAGTTCATTATTGTATGCACTCTGTACTAGTGTAAATGACTATACAGGTGCAGAGGAAAGTGGGTATAAGAGGCTACCAAATCAGAATGGTTTGCTTTGCACAGATATAGCTGACCACACAAGGTGCAGGAAAATGATTAATTGGGTACAGAAAAAAGTAAGGGCTTCTCTTGGTATTTCCTGGTTCACTCATGAAATCCCAGGATTTAATGTCATGGAATGATGTATTTTATGGACTTTATCTAATGCATGCCATTAGGCGAAGACAGACAGACAGAACCAGAAAACTTCGAGATAGAGGGTCCCCCGCCCCCCTAAACTAACCTTTAAGGTATTTTCATTGTGAATGCCCCTTGCAGTCAGGTTAGAGGGGGCATTCTGAACAGAAATCTAGTTTAACTTCATTTGTATATTTCCTTTGCAATTCACTGTTAACATCTCGGGTCTGACAAAGATATAAATTTCCTCTCCCTGTGCTTTGGCTTCATTGACTTGTTTTGCCACTAGACCCTTTTTCCTGGCTGGGACCATTCTTTCATTTAACTCGTTACCCAACACTGCGAGGAAAGGTTAAACTACTGCTTCTAGTCTTTCTGTAGCATCAACTTCTGGCATACCCACTGCCAGAGAAAACTCACAGTTCAGGGGCTTGTCTATCATGCGTCTCTCTTCTGTTTGTAAGATCCAGCCTAAAAGCAGCACGTGCTGGTGAAAACAGCTTCAGACCACAGTGACAGTACAATGGAAATCTTGGGTAACTCCTTTCAACTTCAATGGAGTTAGTCCAGATTGTACCAGTATAACAAAGCAGAGCTTCACTTTTTCTTTGTTCTAAGGCAAAGGAACAAATTTACAATGATTTTTTCCTTCCTTTCCACTCAAAATGGTACTTAAAACCCAGATAAATATTCAGAAGTTTGAGACACTAAGAATCCACGTTGGAAGGATTTGGGTTTCTATCTACTTTTAACAAACATTGAATTCCATGGAGGGTTATTAAGGAAACAAATTTCTAAGATAGCTGCTTCTTTTCTTTCCTTATCTGGAAAAGGATGGCAGGGAATCCTGCCTTCCAGTAGCCTTTCCACCAAGCCCTTTGCAAAACACCAGGTATTCTCCCCAGGTCAGAAATATCATTTCACTGCTGGCCTGGCAGCCCAGGCCTGGAACAGTATGGCTTCCTGCACATCATGACTGAGGTGCATCAGCAAAGCTGTGTATAGGCCCATAATTGACTAGGGTGTGTGTGTGTGGAGGGCAAGGGAACACAAGTGTGTAGGTAAGGATTGGATATTTTGTCACAGCGGCATGGAAGTGTTCAGCATATTTCCTAGCTCTCAGTCTCACTTGCATGAGCACTAAAAGTATTTATTTATTTTTAAGAAAGAAACGGAGCCCAAACCAAAAGCCTGGTGCCTGCAATGTAGACACATACCTGCACAGCAATATATAAGGCTTATTAATACTCCCAGATCAATTAAGTACTAGGAACTCCTCCCCCGCCCCCTTATTTAATTGCATCAGCTGCTCATGAACTGAGAATGGGGCTCTCTCCTCACTTAAGGAATTGTTCCCTGGGAACAGGACTCTGATCTGGAGTCAGTCCGGTGTGGCACTCCCTCATTCCTTAATCAGAGGCTCCCATCTCCTCCCCCAGCCCTCTGCCTTGGAGATTCTGCCAGCCCACTTGGAAGCGTAAGGGCACTTATGAATGGCAACACACTGCAGTTCTAACATTGTGACTGCTGACAGAGGTGTGAGACAGACTTTGCAGAGTCTGATGAGAGGTGCACAAAACCTGAACCAAATAATAATTTACATGACATCAGGAAGGTTTGGGATGGCTCTGAGTTCAGAGCCATGGTCCCAGAATTCTAGCATTTTATTAATGATGTATAAAAAAAAGTATATAATAAAATTAAAACAACTACATTTTTGTGGGAAGATGCGAGAGTTGTTTTTATCCAATGAAGTGACATCACTGCTATAAAACAACAGGTCATGATGTCACAGCTGGTAAATCTTGAAACAATCATAACAAAATATTTTTGAGTTGTCAGTTCAAAAGCTCTGCATTGCTAAAGAAGTTTGCACTGAAAGGAAACTGCCCACGGTAGTTGGCTCAAGGTTTCTCTGATAAGAAAGCCCATCTTTCCATGGATAAATTCTGAATAGAATTTGATATCAAGATGGAATTTCTAGAAATCAAAACTGGCATGTTTGCTAGCAGTGAAAGCAACCATACTAATGGCATCTCTTTCTGAAAGATCAGCATCAGAGACTGTAGCCAACTTCCATCCAGCTCTAATGCTGGGATCAAAGGCAGAGCTATATTATTACTGCATTGAATATGTTCTTTACAGTTTTCAGAGTACAGATGCTTTTCTTTGTGCATGTCTGTGAAGTGCTGGTGAATGGTGTCAGTGTATTTCATGACTGAGATTGGTGAGGGAAGGACCACAGAACCCAGACATTAACAGAGTACGGGGGACAAAAGAGAACAGCAGGGACAAGTGCAGGTCACAGGACCAAAATGAGGGAACCAGAAGGGAGCACTGAGCAGAGAACCTCAGATAACACTCACTACTATGAGAAAGTGGATGCAGCACAGAGGAACTGCCCTGATGTGTGCACAAACAAACAAGAGATGGGGAAAAGGCCCTGTGATGGGGTGTGCATACCTCGTACTAGCCACGACAGGGTTAAACCCACATTATGGACAGCAGAAGTCCTGCCCCCTAGGCTGGACTGGGCATGCTCCAGATGCTGCAGCAGTACAAAGGGAGGAAGCCCAGATCATTTGGGGCTAGATGTTGGAAGAGAAGGACCTGTGCTGGGCGCTCCCACTGAGAACTGGCTATTGCCCCTATCTGCGGAGACCAGAGGACCCAAGGACAGGCTTGGACCTGTGACCAATGGAGCCCCAGGAAGTGACCTGTGCGGTGGAGCTTGGAGACCCCAAAGCCTCATGGACTGCCACATCAGAGACAATGGTAGGAAGTGACCCAGGGCGGGTAATGGAGTGGTATCTTTGACCCCGGTAAGCTCAGTGTGTTTTGGTGGGATTCCCCTCTGAGCCAGTGGCGGACCACTCTGCCACTGCTAGGGCCCTGGGTGGGGGCCTGGAGGAGTTGAGTGGGCCTGGGCCCCCCTGCCTGAGCTGCCAGCCCCCTCATCCCTCCCTTTGATAGTGACCCCTTTGGTTCTGGCTGCTAGGCTGCTCTGCCAAAGGACTGCTCTATTGACTCTGGCTGCTGCACCCTGCTGCCCTGGGAACCAGGGCTATTACCTTTACTCTGTTCCTTAGACTCTGGGGTGGTGAAGTCAGAGATGGACAAGCAGACTTAATGGCGGTGTCCACATACCCCTTATGCCCCCTTTTTGGGACAGGGTGTGCATACACTGCCACAGGCCCCATCACTGCAAAAAACAAAAAACCACATTCAGTTTCTTCCTCCTGGACTGATAGATGGCCACTTTGGCCAATGCCAGGAGGAGGCTGAGGAGAGGTCTTTGGACTTGGTGGTGCGATGGATGAACAGCATGCAGGAGAACAGGTATTTGGGAGATGTACTGCAGAATGGGTAAACATGAGCTTCTCAGACACTTCCCTCTGCCAATGCACCTCAACCTGGCATTGGAAGAGTCACTTGAAAGGGAAAGTTTAGCCTCCAAGACATTATCTGTCCAAGCCTTGTCCTCTCTGCTGAGCTTACCAACAAGGGGACCAGTTATGAGGATGATTTGTGATACTGGCATCTACCTACTGCAGATACTGAATCCACCACCAGATTCAAACCAGATCCTTATAAGTGTACAGCTCCTTATCTCATTACCGAAGTCTGAACCTTCTAGTCTTCCTAAAGTTCTGTTTCTGACTAAAGCTCAGCCTCTGAGATTAACCCTTTTCTGGAAATTAAAAAAAAAGTCACATTCAACCTTTAATCGCTCAGGCTGCTAGAAAAGCCTCCAAAGATTGTGCAAAACCATATTTCCTGTGGGATTTAATGTTCCAGCTCACAATCAATTTGCAAAACCATGGATAATTATTAAACAGGCAGGAATACTACTGGAGACATTTCAACAGGACCCAAAGGAGGAAATGTGCAGTAATTACCCTCACTCCCACATAACAAAGGGTTATTGTTTTAAAGGCCAGAGGCACTGGAGCATTTAACGTTAGGGGCAATCCCGGCTGTCTGGAGAACAGAGGGGAACATCAGAAAGCAGGATGGGATTGCTGCCACTCACTGTCCTTTTAAGTCTTAATGATGTGATCTCACTGGAGTTAATGGTGCTCATCACTCCACAGCATCAGAGCCATAGTTTGTGTTCCTCACAGACCTCCACCTACGGAGAGTCTTTTTAATTCTTCTAAATTATTGATATCAGAATGGTGAAGCTAGT